GTTTGCTGCAGACAACGCGCCGAGGCGCGTTCGCTCTTTGGTAAACACGCGTTTGCGAATACACGGCGAATACACGCGACCTGAAGCGGCTGCGCGCTAAATATCGCCCGCGAGACAACGCCGCTCGGCCTCGCGAAAACGCTTTCGCGCGCCGCCGAAGAGGAGGAAGAGCGGCCGACTCCGCCAGCTCGCGATCTCCGCGCTCTCCTTTCTCCCTTTTTCGCACGAAAAGTGGAGCGAACACCGGACGACCTTCGCGTATGGATCGTATGAAATACGCTCGTGTGAGATTTTCACGGGGAGCCACGCCGGCGAATCTCTCCGCTCCCCCCTCCCCCTGCCCCTCGCGTCGCACGAGGAGAAGGATCAATTAACGCTGAGGAAAAAGTTGCCTCGGCTCTTTCCGTCCTTTCGGAGAGAGATACCTTTACGTCGATGATTTTCTGTTTTCTTTTTTTTTGGTATAGTTAGGAGCGACGCCGTCGTTCGCGATCCAGGAGGCCATCGTCTCTCTGGGAATCCTGATGCGTTACGCGCGCTGACGTCTCCGCGAAGAGTGATATCGCGCGGACTGACGTAACCCGTGAAATCTTATCTGCACGTTCCTCTTTCTCAGGGAGAGACGCGCGTCTCCGCGAGAACTATAAATTTTCACCGAGCTCGCTCTCCGCACGAGCATAAAATACGATAAAGTGCTGTTTGAGTAACAACCGGCATCGTCGTCGGCGCAAATAAGCGGGAGGAGGTCGCGGGGGAATTGAAAAGTTAACTGCAACGTGGAGATAATGCGCGTGCGATTTCTGCGACGTAACGCTCGAGTCGCGTCCTCGAATTCGACGGACGCCTCGGGGCCGCCGAGACGGGAGAGATTATCGAACGACGACTCTGCAGAAATGTGGCCGCAGACATTTCTTCTCGCGGAGAACGGATGTGACGGCGAATTTATTCATATCGGCGGACCTGCCGCGAGACTCAGGCTCGTAAAGGAGCTCGTCGCTGAATAATGCAGAGATTACAATTACGTCGAGCGAGCGAGCGACGTAACCAACGAGGTATCTTCTTCTCGGGTCATTAACGGTGCCGTAACACGCTGTCGAAACTCGCTCGGAAGCCGAAAGTGTATCGCGTGCTTCGTGATTTACGCGACGTAAGCACGACAGATTTCGTTGATTTCCGCATTCCGAGAGGCTCGGGAAAATGGCGCGTGTCAGGCACGCCAGGCGCAATAGATGTTTTCAATCCGTCAACTTTTAATCTCGATTTCGATCTTCTCTTACTTTTCACCTCGGCTTCTTTCATTCCAATCTCTCAGTTTTACCTCATTTGTAATCATTTTGATCGTTACTTCAATTCTAATTATAATCCTCGTTTTAATCGTGCATTTATTTTTAATTTTAATTTTAATTCAATTTGATTCGATCTTCATTTTCATTTTCATTCTATTTCTAGCTAATTTTAATTTTATCAACGTTTTTACAATTAATAGTTCCTACGCTTTGTATCTATCTGATTAAACACAAAATTTTATGCAGCGATAAACGTTAACGGAAACTGATCCCCAACGAAGCAACCATCATCCGTCGAGATCCCCGACGAGGCGCAGTCGTAGAAAAAATAAATATGGCGGAGGGGCAAAAATTTGTATAAACCATTTTCCGGCCGACCGACCGCTAACTGTAACAACAAACGCACGCGTCACTTTGTAGCACGGCTCGTAAGAAATTCAGCCCCAGTGTGGCGGCGAGGGAGGGGGGGTATTGAAGAAGCCCGCGGGAGAGCGAACTCTCGCGGGAAGTCGCGGAAACGCGGATCAGCCGAGCGCGACCTGGTGCAACCAATACAAGTGCTCCGTCGCCGGAGGCGCTCGACGGCGCGAACGATATCGCCGTTACACTTTCTAAGGCCATTATCGCCGCACGAGATCTACGACGCACGCGAAGATGCACCTTCACGCGCGATTTGTATTGCGTTTCCCCTAACGGACAGGATGACGTCGTCAAGTATCCGTGATTCCCCCTCCCCCTTTCCCGCCGTCCTGTCACGACCCAATCTTTTAGAGAATGAACGAGCCGTCGCACAGTAGTCAAAAAGGCTCTCTCGGTGGACAAATTAGTTTGGACCACGTAATTGTTAATCGATTCTAATAATTTTTTTTGTTTTAATTTGCTCGTTATGAATTGCTCTACAACTTTGTCGATTCACTTTTTTTAAAGTAGAGCTTCAAATCAAAATGCCGGACTGAAAATGGTTATCAAAATATAGAAACTATAAGATATTAGATATTCTTGCATCGGAAAAAAATATATATATGTGTGTTTTAGGAGTTCCTAATTACATATCTGACGTGAAAATTTTAATTTCTCGCCACTTAAGAGGATCTGAAACGATCCGAAATGTTTTACGACTTTCTTATATCTTCATCAATTATCAGTGCGTTTAGATAACGTCTTTGCTCACACATTAATGATTTCAAAATTTAGCTTGAAATTTATATATTTTAACAAACAATATATACTAATATGTGATCTGAATGCACTGATAGTATAAAGATATCAGAAAATCTTAAAACATTTCAAATCCTCTGAAGTGGCAAGAAATTAAAATGTGTGTATGTGTGTGTGTGTCGCACAGGCAGAGATAAGGACTCCGTGGTTCGTCACTCTCAAGGGTCGTCTACAAGCTGTAAGAGTAAGGCTGTAAGGCTGTAACGTAAGCTGTCAGCGAATGAAAATATTTCATTTCGTGTCTTGCAACCTTACAGCCTTACAACTGTTACAGCTAATGTAGACGAGCCTTCACAGTATTTAGAGACTCCAAACTCTCTCTGCTCTTTGTGTGTGTGTGTATGTAATTTAATGTAGCACATTCGTACGGTCTTTCAACATTTCTTCAGCCTCTGGATGAAAAGGTTTATGAACCTTCCTTACAACTCGTCAACGGCTAGTTATATAGGGATTCGACGAAAAAAATAAGGAATGCAATATATCTTCGTTTGTATCGCACCGAAAAAATTGTATTCTTATTTTAAGAATTTCCCACTTATGTTTAGGATAATTTCATCTAAAATAGGCACCAAGAACATTTTCTTAACTTAAGAGGAGAATCTTCTTACGAATGTGTTAGTACTAGATATTCTTAAGAAATAATCTTAACGGATACTCTTAATGGATATTCTTAATGTATATAAATATTAATACAACCATATACGATAGATCAAAGTAAGTAAAGCCAACGCTGCTATCAGAACGCAACTTTAAAATGAAATTAAAATTAGGAATCAGAGTCTGCTCGACGCGGAAAGTTGATTCACCGTGTAACCACTTTCTGCGTCGAACTGATTCTAATTCCCAATTTGTAATATTTAATTCATTAACTTCTTGCACTATTAATCCTCTTATAATGCTACATCTTTTAATGCAATTTTAAAGTTGCAATCCGACTTCAATGTTGGTTTTTATTTGCCTTTGATCTATTGCATATAATTATACTGCGAAAGTTGTTTTTGAGATAAAAAAAAGCACACACTTTTGCACAAAGGCATAATGCACAACGCATAAGGAAAGTGAACTAATCAGTCTTTCATTTCAAACGTGGCAATAGAAATGAGGATTCTGCTTGGTTTCTTTCCTTATTGTGTATTACGCCTTTATGTAAGAGTGTGTGCTTCCTTCTTAATGACCGATCGACAACTTGTTTCTTGCTAGGCAGTTATTCTAAAAGAGTATATTCTTAATTTTAGTATGTATTCTAGACATATCGATAAAAAGAAGAAAATATTCTTATAGATTAAGAATATTTGTTAAGAAAGCTTAAAAAATATAAAATTTTCTTATATTAAGAACATAATGTTTTCGGTGTAATCTTTTTTCTCCTTCCCCTATAAAGGAATGTATAACCAGTAAGAATAAATAATAATCCTCTTAGAAAAAGATTAAACGATCTGCGTATAAGAGGAAATTTATATTAAAATCAATAAGATTTGCATTGCTCTAACTTGAAGAATAATGTGTTTATAATATTTTCCTCTTAATCTTAGGGGAATCCTCTTGAGGCCAGATGTGAGAATAAAATCCTCTAAAATTTGATGATGAATTCGCTTGTTCCGAAATTTCTTTTTTCTTTTTTCGGATGAGACCATTGTTGTTATTAATGCTCCTCCACTTTGATACCTCGTATATTTATCACAAACCGCCTTACCGAGGGCGCATAATCGAAAACTCCGTTGATGTTCCGCGGTGGAAGGAGGGGAAGAGGGGGTTGCGCGAGGAACGTCGCGCAAGCATCGATTACACAAAAGTACGCGAGGATTAGCAGTCGCGAAAGTTCACAGACGGCGTTGCCTCAAGACGCGGCGCCGACGCCGACGCCGCGTCTCGCCCTTTGACCTTTTCACCGTTGTGAGTGTACGTGTTTACGGGGACTCGGACGGTCGCGCGGCCCCGTACACGAACTTGCGCATGCACAGCCCAATAGCGCGGCCATTGTACAAATACCGGATGAATGGATCGTACGGGCGTAAATCACTTGCGAAATCCGCGGACGCGTCCCAGAAGAAGGCCTCAACAACGCGCGCTCGAGACACCCCCTGCGAGATTTTACCGCAGCGTGTCGTAGTAAAATTCCACGAATTCCTCCCGACTCTTCTCAACCGCGCTAGGTGCAATTCCGCGCCTGCTTCCCCTCTTCTCTTCTTTCTTCTGCCCTTTTTTTTTTTTTATCGATATTTTTCCTTTTTTTTCTTGCGCTAGATGATTGTTTCCTCTTAATTTGTATTTGCGCTCAGCGCACCGGGCGGCACGGGCGCGCCGTTCCCGCAGATGAAGAAACAAACAATAGCGAGGAATGCGCGAGAGCGACCGCTCGAGAGCATCCTTCTCGAGGGATTTCTTCATTTTTCTCCTCGCCGGATAGCCGGAGATACCCGCGATATCGCCGCCGGGTAGGAGAGTGCAGGGCGAGTGCACTGATTGACAAGCGAATTAAGAAGGCTGTTTGCTCACCTGGAGGGTCCGTCGTTCAGGATCGCGGCAGAGAGCCCGGACGAAATGCGGGTCCAAGTAGTCCGTCATAATAGCCCGCAAGACTGGTCCACGGTGCCCTTTCCCTAACAACTCTCGCGCAGCCCCGCGCAGTCCCGCTCGTCGGTGAAGAACATCCTCGCTCGGAGAAGCGGTCTTCGCGGATTCCGGACGGCGCTCCGCAAACCGGCCATTTACAAGGCGGATCGTTCGGTCGATCGCGCGTCGATCTTCTCGCGGGAACTCGAGCGATCACGAACGGCGCGTCTCGCGCAGCGAGTGTCTTCGCGGCGAGCGAGTGGCGTTTCGGCGAACACTCGACCACATGGTCTCGTCAGGGCGACGTGTCCCTCGGTGATCACGGCGCTCGCATCCTGCAACAGAGAAAAAGGACCATGAGAGAGAGAGAGAGAGAGAGAGAGAGAGAGAGAGAGAGAAGACCAGATGAGTGAGAGCGAATGAATCGTGTGGTACCGCCGGAAGGAAACTTCAAGGTACGGCCGATACTTGAGCGGAAACGCGGAGAGCAATCTGACAAATTCCGCCGTTGGATCTATCAGAGTAGAAAAATTAATAGGGCTCTGATAAGGGCCTGATTACTTTTCCCTAACATTAATCGGGTCCTAGTAGGGATAGAAAGACAGGGGCCTTTTAAGGCAATATCAACGGGGCCTTATAAAGCGATTTATTAATAGGACCTTACACACGGAGAAAAATATCCGAAATATCCGATTGTTAATTTTGTTATCCGATCAAATATCCGATTAAATACACCGGATATTTGATCGGATAACGAAATTAACAATCGGATATTTCGGATATTTTTCTCAGTGTAAGGAAATATTTTTATTATTGTTTCAGTAAAAATATTCGTTCCTTTTACTCCAAAAAATTTAGATTGTAATTTCTTTATAACCTTGTTAGTATACAACAAGAATCTTTTATTTTAAAAATATAGCATACTTTGTAATAAAATATAGCATTTTTTACACGTAAAAATCCTACTACTGTTTTTATTAAAGTTTGCTGCATTTCAAAACGAAAGCGATACTAGACGAAAAGTCCTTGGAAGAGACTAATAAATGTGGCAACTAGTAAAACTTGTGTAATAAAATTTGTTTTCAATTGCGGTATAACTAAAAAATCTTCGAAAGGACCCGATAGAACGTAACTACTACTAAAACAATACTAAACTATGACAATTTTATTACACGCTTCAAATCTTATTAATTTTCTACAACAAAACTTGATTTTGTATATCTAAAGTATCCTTAAAAGACTCTTCTAAGACTCCCACATCAGTTTCCCATGTTAAAGAATTATTTCGTAAAATCTAAGGTATCCTTAAAAAATTCTTTCAAGGTCCTTCTCAGTTTTCCCTATCAAAGCCTTATTTCATAAAATCTAAGGTAAATCCCTAAAAGATCCATCTCAGGGCCTGATGTGGTAATAAGGTGAGGCATCCCTTTCTAGATCCCATCCTATTTTCACCCTTATCGCGGCCTTATGCTTCAGGAGGATGGCCCTAACAATTTTTTGTTCGGGTAATTCTTTGCCCGAGAGAAATAGAAACACGAGCAACAGCGTGGGGCCCGTCCTCGCGGACCTATTTAATTATTTTTCCTCGACTCCAATATAAAAGTTTCGACAAGGACAACAGAAGAGCGTGTCGAAAATGCTTTTCCGAGGAAGCGACGCGACGTACTGTTATTGGACTGGCAAAGTTACGCGCGGCTCGTTTCACGACAGTCTCGATTTCTTCGCGAGCGCTCTTCAGGGCGAGAAAACATTTTTGCTCAGCGATAAGCGCGTCAAGTTACAAGTCGCGCGAAAGAAACGTAAGATCGCGAGAGCGTCGCGAATCGGAAACCGCTCATTAAGGTGCACACGTATCGACCAAACTCAGGACGTCAGCACACGTGACCTTTGACTCTTTCAGAGCCAAGGAGATCAGCGAGAGAGAATATTTCCTTCGACCGACCCGATAATTATAATTACTCAAGAAAACTTACGGCTGCTCTTTAGCTGAGAAAAGGAAACATCATAATTTATCACTTATACATAAATTTGTTGGCAAAATTGATAAAATTTCACATCTTGTAGTTTTTTTAAGTGTTACACCATTGTTGTTATTGTTGTTGTTGTTGTTAGCGCATTTTATCGTTTTACTGCTCCCTGCCTTTAAATCTTTCTCGTGCCAGTACACCTGGCATACCGAGTTGCCGGGATAAATGTCCATGCCAGCTGTGCTGGCATTCCGAGTGCGAGAGGTTAATTTCACTTCATCATCTTGATTTGATCTCGCTATTAAACTGTACGCTGTTAAACCGCACAAGACGAGGGAAACAAGTAAACTACATCTTCCTGCAGATGACAATGATAACTCTCACGATAATTCTCATAGATCGTTACGCGCTGCTCAAGGATGCCCATTGAGAAGCGGGCTCGGGGTTTTCAGCGGAGGACGGCGGAGGACGGAAGCCGCTTGACACGAGAAGACTCCGCGGAGGAGAGAGTGCGACGCACTGCTCGATTGCCGGAGCTATCCTCCGACCTTGGATAAGCAACGTCACACGCGAGGCACATACCTCGCGAGAACGGTAAGTCGAGGTCGCGGCGAGTCACACACCTCGAGCGCATCTCACAGACGCAATTTTCGCGCAAATAGCCCTGATTAGCGCGCGGCGACGCGAGAGGCAACGGATCATTTCAGGATAAAGCCGCGCGAATCAGCGCGGCTATAAGGATTTCGCTTCTTGATTGAAAGGGACGAGAATAACCTCGCGAGCGGCCAGCGCTAGATCGATCGCGACCTCGAATACAGCCAAACGTCACCGTGTTTCGTTAATTTTCTCTCTCTCTCTCTCTCTCTCTCTCTCTCTCTCTCCTTCTCTTCTCCAATCTCCTTCTCTATCCGCCTACGATCTCTCGCCCGGGGGGAAAAAAAAAAAAGAAACTTTGCAACCGCGCCGCGCCGAAATACTCTCCCACTGCGACTCTCATGCATTATTCGTCGACTCGCCGATCGATCGCGAACCGTTCAGAAATATTCTCTCCTCGCATTGACCTATATTATACACCTAGCCGAGCGATTCAAGGCTCCCGCGATTTGTTATGCGCAAAGGCGGATGATATCCCAGCGACAAGCGGATCGACGAGAGCTTGATTGGGGATTGGCTCCGTTAAGCGCGGGGCTCTTCATTAAAATTCCCTCGCATCGTCCTCGAGAGGAGGAAAAAGATGAAGGAATTTCGAACATCTCCTCCTGCGTCGCGTGTCACTCTCGCGACGTCGAGGAAGCTCGAGGTGTGAAAATAATCGCCGGCCGAAGCTCGGGTCGCGAGTATCTCGCGATACTCGCCCGCTCGCGCGCAGACTCCGAGGAGGAACGAGGAGGTCCCGCACGGGAAACGGGCAATCTATTAGGAGCGAAAGCCGTACACGAGTGGAGGAACATGTCGGAGGAGCTGGCACGACGAGGTGGCGGACGAGAAGAAGAGCGCGGCTTCGCATCGGCCTTGCGCATCGTTTCTCTTTAGCCTCGCGTTGCTCGTTTTTTCTTCTTTCTTGGTCTTGGTCTTGGTCGTCGTCGTCGTCGTCGTCGTCGTCTTCTTCTTCTTCTTCTTCGTCTTCGTCTTCGTCCGCTTCTTCTCCCGCTCGGAGAGCCCGGAGGGGCTCCTTCTTTCTCCCTTCGTGAAAGAGACTCGCTGAGTCGGCGTCTCGTTCACAACTCGACCTACGCGGCCACGAGGCGAAACGCCAGGCCGCGCCGGCCAGAAGAAGGCGAGCGCGTGTATCAATTTGCTAATCGGCGAGAGCATCGAAACGACTCGTAACAATTCGTAATCGAGTCGCCGGGGCTCCTCGGGGGGGGGGGGGGGTCGATGACGTCGACGGACTGCCTGCCCGCGCGTATCAACGAGACACTGCACGACGAGAGCGTAAGCGTGACGACTGATTGACGATGCTCGGCAAAACATGACTTCACATCTAGGTCGGTTACACCGAGTCGAAACAGTTACGAGTGCTGCTGCTGTTATCGGCGACCTGTAAAATCCTACGGTTGATAGTAACGGGCGTGCCGCTAATGGAAATCCGGATGCTGCGTCACAGCGCCGGGCCCGCGATGCATTTTCGTTCTGTGCCGATAAACAGGCGGAGAGGCGACTTCCATCCAGCCGTTTTACAAAGGAACGAGACGCGCGCGGATTAGGGTTGCCAAATGCAAAAGTTCCAATCACCGGACATTTCTTCTTTGGCAACAAAGCCAAAGCGGACTGAACCGGACGGAAATAATAATCATAACGTTACATTAAATATAAAATATGACAAGAATTTATTTACAATATTAATTTCCAAACAATTTTACTAACAAGATTTGATTGAATAAAATAATAAACTATTACTTTTTTAATATATAGGGTGTCTCATTTTAATGTCCCACCCCAAATAACTATTCAGTATTGAAGTTTCAAGGAAAATGATCTGAATAAAAGTTGTAGGGATTTAAGTGAGCTACCTTAATGATGACCTTGATCTCTATTTTCAAGGTCATTTGAAAGTCAACTTGCGTTTTTTAAATGGGAACCTTATTTTTTAGACAAAAAGGTTGTTCAAATTAACTAGTGGAAAAAAAACAGTGTAATAAAAAATAAGGGTTCCCATTTAAAAAACGCAAGTTGACCTTCAAATGACCTTGAAAATAGAGGTCAATGTCAAAGGTCATCGTAAGGTAGCTCACTTAAATCCCTACAGCTTTTATTCAGACCATTTTCCTTGAAACTTCAATACTGAAGAGTTATTTGGGGTGGGACATTAAAATGGGACACCCTATGGATATGGAATGATGGATCGGCAGATCATCTACTAGATAGCTTTTCGTGGCGCTCGATCGTTTGTAGGCGCTTGAAACGGAGAAACGTTGCTAAAATCTGAACTCGCATTCCATTGATTGGATATAACTTAAAAGCCGGACATATGACGTCCGGTTTGACTTATTAACCGGACACTGGACAAAATTTCTGAAAACCTGACAGTCCGGGTCGGACAACCGGACAGGTTGGCAATCCTAGCGTCGGTTGATTTCTTCAAGTTCTTCATTCGGAGCGCGCGATAATTGCGGCGTGCCCGAAACGGGACAGCGGCGGAATTGGACATTTGATTCCCGATAATATTATTCGCTGGTTTGCGCGCGAGTTTTCAGTCGCGCAACGGATAACTTCATTCTGCAAGGCGGAAGCGTCAGAGTCGCTCGACTCGGGACGTTCTTACGTTTCTTCGTCCTTGAGCGCGAATATTTCAGCGTGGGCGTGGCGTTTCGACTGTTTCTCTTCTTCATTTAACATTTCGAATTTCACTGTATTTCAGAAGATGT